CCCCCCCCCCCCCCCCCCCCCGACTTTTAAATGGACATCAAATAACCACTGCCATCACACCACGTACGTAACAGCCTCGTCAAGGTGTAACGCAACAAACGTCAGTCAGTCTCCATACTGTGGGATCCTCAAACCCCCCCCCCCACCACACACACTCACCCATGTACCGCCCAGGTCGATTTCCATGGTCTGAATACTCTACAATATTCCAATAGGGAAAGTGATCTTATCAACATCAGTCACCAAGGGACATGCGTGGCAGCGGTCTCAGATGTTAATTTTGATGCCTACGTATGCTAAGCACGTCCCTACGGCTCTTGTCTCTCCTGATAGCGAGAAGAGAAGCCTGTTTTTTTTTCTTGAAAATCTGATTGGTGACAGGGTCTGCTCTAAGTTTAAATTGTTCAAAACTGACATCTTAGTTTGTGGCGATTTACGACGGTTTAACGTTGAATTCTATCATAGGGATACGAAGAATTCTGTCATAGGGATACGAAGAATTCTATCCTAGGGATACGAAGAATTCTGTCATAGGGATACGAAGAATTCTATCCTAGGGATACGAAGAATTCTATCATAGGGATACGAAGAATTCTATCATAGGGATACGAAGAAATGTTGATACAATAGATACATTGGCAGAAGAATGACGTACCTTATTATCAGTTAACAAAACTGAAGAACTCATATTTTTTGGATTCTGCACATCTTTGTTGCTATGTCCAAGAAATGAGAGGGGTGGGGGGGGGGGGTGGGGAAAGCTCCCGAACCTGCCATGACATTATGTAGGTTAATATTCAAATGGTATCAGTTAACAAAACTGAAGAACTCATATTTTTTGGATTCTGCACATCTTTGTTGCTATGTCCAAGAAATGAGAGGGGTGGGGGGGGGGGTGGGGAAAGCTCCCGAACCTGCCATGACATTATGTAGGTTAATATTCAAATGGATTTACCCCTAGAACTATTATTAGCACGTTGAGTGCTTTCCCTTGAATTGTGTCTCCCCTTATTTCTCAACACCCACCTCCTTGTCACGGCCCAAACCACGTGATCTGTTTACCATTCAAAATGTCCTGATATGGATATTAGGCTAAGTCTCCTATAAACAAACGAATGATGTCTCCCTGGTGGCCTATGGCCTTGGTGGCTTATATCACTAGCGGACTTCTCTCTTGGCAGAATTGGCCATAATTTTTTATCGCTTGAAACAAAACAAAAAAATTAAACCATTAACAATTGAAACGTGGTGTATGAGATCTGAAACATATAAATTAAAACGAATAGTTTTTTAGGTAAAAGTCTTTAATTTGTACTATGTCACGATTCAATGAGAAATGGCAAAAGTAACAATTATGGAAGATTCTAAAATTAAAACTGGACTGCTTTATGTTGATTGTTGACATAATCAAACATTGAGTGCCGTCGTGACTAAAGTACCTGCATCTCTCTAACTAAGAGTTTTCCCAACAATGAAATCATTGTAACTTTTCATTAAATTATCACGTTTTCAGTCTCATTACTTTCGAAAGTATCGACAACTAAATACAATAAAAGTCTAGACTAGACATTCATTAAAAACATATTTAGGTCAGCAGCTCAAAGGTCTAAATTTTTTAAAGGAAATGGTCTAAAGTTGTTTCAAGGAATGTTCTAAATTTGTTCCAAAGAATTTGTCTTAGGTTGTTCCAAGGAAATTGTCTAAAGTTGTTCCAAGGAAGTGGTCTAAATTTGTCTTAAGGATATTGTCTCAATTTGTTTTAAGGTAATTGTCTAAATTTGTTCTAAAGGAACAAAGATGTTCTCAGGAAATGGTCTACAGTTGTTAAAGTTCAAAACTTAATCACAGACACCTTGTATATTGTTTTAGGGCCTCTTTAAAGATATGCCACTCATCACCTATCCTACTTAAATTAAACAATGGCTTGACGAATGAGAGCTAAGATTGCCATATAACCGCATAACAGGTAGGTTCTGATGCTGACCATCTCACCGCTCGAGCCGGAGCCCTGGGTCGTGGAGCACAGGCCGTCGATGCAGTACTTGGCGTCGCTTGGACACGCCGAGCAAGCTGCGCCCTTTTTGTACGGCTTCTGGCCGACGTAGTTCCCGCCAGGGCCGTAGTTGCAGACGACGAAATACCCGGGCCACGCGACTCCTTGCAAGGGGTCACAGTACTTGATCCCACAACCAACGGACCTCGTCGTGGCCCAGACGTCTGCCGTGTAATGCCCGCAAACTTTAGAGCAGCTGTTGGTGTCGTAGATGTAATCCGCCTTCTCGCCATTCCACTGGCTCACAGCCCCTGCAGGATATCCCGATGCGTCTGTTGATGCTGCGAGGTTTTCGCCAACCACAGGGAAATTTGCAACGTTCGTTCTCTGGGCTTCACTTTGGTGAGCGAAATTACATTTCGATGCCCACGCCTGGGCGAACTTCTCAAGGGCGTCATCCCATTTTAAAATCATCATATCACTGGCACCCGAAATTCGTCTCTCCGCATTGTGGGCATCCAGGATAATTTTCTTTTCGCTGTCAGTGAACCCCGTGGTGGACTTATCAATCGCCTTCTTTACTCTCAGCAGGGAAGACTCGTTTCGCAGTTTCAGAATACCTGGAGAGTCTAAGGATAAACTGCTGTCGTCGCGCTGTCCTCGAGTCACATTTTCATTTTTATGCTGACGTGATGAGGTTATGGCCATCGAGATCACACAAAACAGCACACAGAGAAATCCGACACCTTGATTCATTATTATTCCTTACAGAATAGTCCCGTTTCTGATGTTGTAGAATGAGTCCTTGCCAACGACTTCTTAAGTGCTATGAAAAATAAATTTCAAGTTGACACCAAGCAAAGAGGAAGAGGTCTAGCTTCATCTCGGCTTTTCATAAGAAACGAATTCTTAAAATTTTCTAGAAAATAACAATGGTGTGGTATCACTCCAAGGATGTGCGTAATACAATTGTGCGAAACGGTGCTCAAACTTGGTGTTGGAATATTTTTGTGATTTATGGAAAATATAGATGGTGCGCATCAGTTCTTGTTAAAATGTGAGCTGGACAAATGGATAATTATGGCAATGACGTTAGATAAATAAGAAAATTTTAAAAGACTCTATATATACTATCTTGAGTAGAGTATGCATATTTTATTTCACGAATACAGGTGAAACGGCATTTAAAAAAAAATCTTAACAAAATAGAATAACTGATTACAAGTTAAAAAGTTTCTAGAATTTGATCAAACGATTTCTTAATGTTATCTTGTCACACACTAACTTCAGACAAAACCAGCTAAGCACTGGATTTAACTTCACAGATATGGACGGAGAGTCCCTGCTTATAAAGATTGGCTAGTAATGCGTTGTAGCGACTGCAGTGCCGCCTGTTCGTCTGATATCACACACAACGTTTTCATATTCTTTTAATTGATTTGATATTTATGTAGCGCTGTTATTCATGCTACTTTAGCATGCTCACTGCGCTCTGGTGTTCTAAAATCTATTTAAAATTAAAAGTTTTAAAATGTTTCTTAAATGATTTTTAAAAAATCTTTTTCCATGTACCTCAAAGATTGAGGCAAACTGTTCCATAATTTTGGTGCTATCGCTTCAAAATAGCGCTCTCAGTAAGACTTTTTTCTTTGTTCATCCACACTTGGAATTTTCAGTAAGGATTGTGCTGAAGACGGCAGGTTCTTTAAGGATACATGTTTATAAATCAGTTCTATAAGATATTCCGTGCAGAGCCTTCTATGCAGCTGTACGCCAAGGATAGAATTTTGTAGTTTCACTCACTCACAGGAACCCAATGGAGATCTCGTAGAACTGGGTTGATGTGGTCAGATTTGTTTATCCGCGATACAATGCGTGCTGCAGTATTTTGTACCTTCTGGAGTCTCCGAATTTGGTTAGTGGCAAGCACTCTTCCAAGACACCAACGGTTAAAAATAAATTTTGATAATAAGAATGAACAAACCTGTATTTTAACGTTTCAGTTACTTTTTTTGGGGGTGTCAACTCTTTATTCTACCGGGATGGTTAATTCGTCAAGCTCTTTCATACGTTGTAATACGTCGTACTAATATTGAATAACTCATAAGTCCTTCATCATAAAAATGCAACTTTAATGTCTTATTATTAACACAGGCTGTGAACACCATACACACATAATGGATAGCGCAGCTCGCGATATCCCGGAATAATACACCCTCCATCCACAAAGTTCCATTCAACACTGGAGCGCGATTCAAACTTGCGTCACAAAATTTCAGTCTAGACAATGCGTCCCAAATTAATTAAGCGCGGGAAGAGGGTTGACTACTTATGCATCTCTCAAATACACCGCATGCAATGAAACATTCAGTCGCAACAATTACTAATGAACTCCCATACTCGACAGGGGGGGGGGAGGGGAGGCAGGAAATTTCTAAAACAATGTCTCATAAATTGATTAAGTAGATCGAACATACCCTCTCACAGGGCAGCAGAATGGAGACTTTAAATACAGGACGGCCATGGCTTTGATACATTGAAAGATAAGACTTCTGGAAGGACAATAGGTATTCAGAATTATTCACGACCGTACATAAATAATGACGCAATGTAGTGTGTACTTGTTGAAGAAAACCATACATTAAGTGTTTCTCAAGCTTTTTTTTTTTGCTCATACCCCTCCGTCTCAACTAAAAAGTTTTGAAGCCTCTAAGCCATAAACTAAAAAAAAAAAAAAAAAAAAAAAAAAAAAAAAAAAACAAACAAAAAAAAAAAAGAAATTATAATAAAAAAAATCGAGCTCCAGTCAGCATGTACAAAATATAAAATATAATAAAAGACCTCGAGCTCCAGTCAGCATGTACAAATTATAAATTATAATAAAAGACCTCGAGCTCCAGTCAGCATGTACACATTATAAATTATAATAAAAGACCTCGAGCTCCAGTCAGCATGTACACATTATAAATTATAATAAAAGACCTCGAGCTCCAGTCAGCATGTACAAATTATAAATTATAATAAAAGACCTCGAGCTCCAGTCAGCATGTACACATTATAAATTATAATAAAAGACCTCGAACTCCAGTCAGCATGTACAAATTATAAATTATAATAAAAGACCTCGAGCTCCAGTCAGCATGTACAAATTATAAATTATAATAAAAGACCTCGAGCTCCAGTCAGCATGTACAAATTATAAATTATAATAAATTAATAGAGGCCGACCAAATTTCATTTTCAATTTTGGCACAGAAAGCTGCTATATGATCACTTTTGGAGTAATTTTGGGTTTCTAGACATTATAGTGGACCATTCCAATAAAAATAAATAGGCCAAGCTTTTGATCGCAACTAACTAACTAACTTAAGAAAAACAGCGAACACCGAGCCTTGAGGCTCATATGGTCCTCCCCAACGCACCACCCCGCCAACTAAACCGGCCATCAACCACTCCCCCAGTGGTCTTTATTCCGATCGGGCCGCGAAGCGGCACGCCAGGGACGCTCCGCCCCTAAGACCGCCACACTCGACCTCCACTCGATTGGCCGCCGAGCGTGGCAGCCCCAGAGAAGAAACACCTGGCCAGCCGGATTGCTGCTCACGCAGCAACAGGGCCGGACTTTCTAAGGGGTTGGGGTGGGTATTTAACGTCTCTAAAGTCCCCCCTTACCACCCCGGGGGGACCGCGTAGTTGTTTAAGACCGACGCCCTCTACTAGGGTTTGTATGGTTATTCTACGGTGCGACTAATTCACACCGTAGATGGGAGAGAG